TTAAAAATGCAGAGAATTCTAGTCGAATGAGATTATAATTATTTAACTTTGTGAGTATTGAAAAGAGAAAATGGCGAATGAACTGATCAGAACTAAACAAGAGAAAAATAATTAAACATGTACTACTAATTTTCCCACAAAACTTTTCTAACGGAATAAATATAAAGAGATTGGAATTATTTCATTCTATAAATCATCATCACCATTATCTCTATCAAATATTTCATTATTACTCAATCGTTCAAAATCTGATCTAGTTCGTGTTGCAAGAGCATTCCCATTATTCGATATATCTACAACTGTTACTGGACTAGTTGTCTCATCATTTTTAGCTAAGATTTCATCGACAATACTTTGTAAACATGTACTAATTAAAGCAGCTTGTTCTGTATGTATTGTAAACCATTGTAAACTATCTTTTTTAATTAAATATTCAAATGTTATATTTAAATCTAATTTTGTCCAATTGACTTTCCAACATCGAATACGTGTAACTTTAAATGAAATATTTTTAACAAATAAATCCTCATTTTCCTTATCATCATTAATAAAATAACATAGCATTTCATTATTACCAATCGTTAATATACATTGAGAAAGTTTTTGTGTGATTAAATCATTCATTGAACATTGTTGAAATATTAAATATCCATAAAACTTCGATGTACGTGCTAATGTAATATATTCATTATCATGTAATACATCTAATTGTTCATAAATATCACTTGGATAGATATGTTTACTTTGTTCGATATCATATTCTGCTTGAATAAAAACAAGATTACGTGTATAACGATTATCTAATAATCGTAAATCATAATTTAAATCCCAATATGATTTTTTAAATACCAGACATGAATTTTTATGAATTAGTTTTGTTTGTTCGAATGTTATATATGGATATTCAAATGAAAATAATGGTCGAATTAAATTTAATTGATTATTTTCATATTCATAAAGAAATAAAGAAAAATATGAATAATATTCATCGTCTAATTGAATTTTATTTGTACATGCATGAAATAATTTTGATAGATTATCGTATGGTGAAAAATTTTCAAGAGTCATTTCATGTTTATTTAAGAGATATACAGTTAAATTAATTGTTTCCGGACATGTTCTTTCTATGAATTCATTGACAAATGTTTCACGTTGTGCATTTAAGAAGAATTCAGTGAAATATATTGATGATGTTAACGATTTATTTGGAACCACAGATTGTAAATAACGTTCAAGTAAAATACGTCGTTCATCTATTTCACGTAAAGATAAACGAAAGAATTTTTTCGGTGGAAATGGTTGACTATTAATCAGTGAATTTGAAAATGAACGTTGAACTTCATCATTAAATCTACGTAATTGAGAATAACGTAAACTACAATAATGAATTCCATTAATATGAATATTAAATAATATATAAGCACGTTGATCAATACTTCGTTTAGCAGATATTTCTGTGGTATCAGGAATGGAAAAATACATCTGCAAAACAAAAAAATTATGTTCTATAGGACACGTATAACCAGACTAACCATTATTAGAATATACTCAAATAATCTTCAGAAAGGAATTAAATACGATTTTCCATAAATAAAATACTCTTTAGTTTAATTTTCTTATATATATATATACTTTTTTAAGTTCGATAATGAATATAGCAATAGAGACAATACAGAAAAAAAAATAAACTTGTAGAGACATAGACGCGCATACACAAAAAATGAGTATATGAATTTATATATATATATACACTTATATACCATAATATTTTTATCTTATTCGTTGTTTAAATATATAAGAAAGAACACGAGCTAAGTAGCAGTAAAAAAAAAGAAAGAAGCAAGAATACTGATTGCACAGATACATATATATTAAAGGTGAGAACTTTGGTTTTGATTGATTATCACTTGAAGCTAGACAAACCGGGGTGAACAATCATGCATACTAATAACGAACAAAGGAGAAAAAAAAGCGAAAAAAAATATTGATCATTCGATAGAAGAACAAGAAAAAATGAGATGACTTCATTCATGACAAGAAAAAAGAAATGCCAAGTTAATGCGAAACAAAAGAGATTGCATTAATAAAGAGAGATTAATAAATGCTAAATTATCATTGATCAAGCAAAAAGAAAGAAAGAAAAGTTTGTTTTTTCAATTTGAAATAGTTGGTTCATCTGCTTTATTATTATTATTTGTTAATTGTAATTCTCGAAGAATACATTCGAAACAATCATACATAAATTGTCCAAATGGTGATTGTAATTTAACTGGTTTAGGAACTTTCATTGTTGAACGTTTATATTCAAATATAAAATATTGTTCATCAATACAATAACGTCCAATTGTTGTCCAATCAAAATCTGCTATTTGATTCGGTTCTAATTGACCATCATCCGAACAAGCATGTAAACGAAGACGTGTGCTATTTACTGATAATATAACACAACCATTATCTTTACGTGAACTACATGGACATAGAGGAAATGTTGTTGTATTATAAATATCAGTAAATGTTTGGGCGTATTTTATATATTCAATTTCATCGAACGTTTTCAAAGCTGAACGTTGATCAGCTGTAGAATTTTGTGAACGACTTAATTGATCGATTGCCTAATGAAGAAGACGAAAAACCTTGAATATATTTCAATAGGGAAAAAGAAATCTTACTTCACGATAGAGATAATCTCGTGCTAATGGATATTTTACAAGTTGAATTTCGACTGTTGGTGAAAAGACGAATTTTCTTAAACATAAACATGTTGTATTAGCTGTACAACAATTTTGTATATAAATTTGATGTGGATATTCTGTTGGACGAAGTTTTCGTTCTAAAATGTAATTTAATATCAAAATTGATAATAAATTTACTTCTCAAATTTCTTACCAAATGTATAATCTAGAATTTCAAATAGATAAAAATATGGAGCACATTGTTGTGGTAAATCAATTTTTGCTACTACAGCCTAAATAGAAATTTTGTTATGTTAATGTCAAGAAAAAATATATATATATATTTACTTCATAAACTTTATCAGCAGTAGAAAAACGTTTAATTTTAAGAATCGTAACTGATCGATCAGGTAACATAACTTTAATTTCAACGTCAATTGAAACAGCATCACGCTTAAATGATAATTATATTAGATTTAAGGAAAAAAAAGAAAGAAAAACTTACTTCATAAACATCAGCTGATAAGAATTCTTGTACAAGATCACAATCACCAACCACACGAACCGAACATACTAAATAATTTATTTAAAAAATAGATATTCTTGTGTATCTTTTTATTTTACTTTTATCAAGATATTGTTCAAGGCCACGACGTCGAGCATCTAATTGTTGATCAGATAATTTAAATGGCCATTTTTTTGGTAAAGAAGTAAATGGAAAATCCGGAAATTCTTGTTTTAATTGTTGATGTAAAGAAGAAAATTCTCGATAACGTCGTGAACATAAATGTCGACCTGATAAAATTATATTATTAAAAAAAATTAAACTAAATAAGTATATTTACTAACCAGCAATATGAATATTAAATACCTAAAAAAAACAAAAAGAAAAAATAGTAGTTTTCATAGAATATAAAATCTGTCATTGTTTTTCTGTTTTGCGTACGCTTAAATCTTATTAGAGCGGATTAGAAGAATTGTTTACTTTATATCTAAAGTACAGTTTTATTCTAATCGAGATCTGTCAGATTATCATTTCTGTTCTGTATTTATTATTATTGTTATGAATGACAACTGTCTGTCTGTCTGTCTGGCAGTGACAATAACATAAACTTGCTCTATTTATGAATATACCCTAGAGAGGTTAATTTTTCAGCTTATTCTTAGCTAAAGGCGTGAGAGTAGTTTAGGTATTAAATATAAAATTAGAAAGTTCCTATTAATCTAGATGGATAAACTTTAGTATATCAAACGTATTTTTTCAAATAGATTTGAAATCTTTGAAAATACATACATAGAATTTTTCATCATTAACTTCTAATAAACTATAATCTGGTATTGTTATTGCAAGTGAACGTCGTTCTGTATAATCATTTGAACTTCCACTTGATTCTTCTCCCGAATGTATATCACTATGTGTTTCCTCACCAGCAGCCGATGCAATAACTATACGAAAATAATTCATTTTAAATTCAAATAATCCTAATTTTTGACTTACCAACAAGATGAAGTTCATCATCACTATGTTTAATTAAATCAACAACTTGTTTATGCGATGCTCCTTCGACATCAACACCATTTCTATAGAAAAAAAATTATTATTTACTTAATAAAAAAAATGTTTAATGACATACACTTCAAGAATTTTATCTCCTACACAAAGACCTGCTTTTTCAGCTGATCCTCGACTTGAAACAGCTGATACATGTTGAAGTGGTCCATAAAGTGTTCCATGTATTGCTTTGACTTGCCCACCTTCGAATACTTGACCACGTACATTAAATCCAAATCCATTACTAGATTTTCTTACAATTATACTTCGTGGTGCATTTGAGTTTGATATTGGTTTAATTGAATTTGTAATTATACCTGATGTTGGAACTTTTCGTGTTGATGAAGATATATCCATGATTATTGAAAATATGAATTCTAGTTTTCATTTATCGAAACAAAATCAATCGATAAGCTATTTTCTATTGGTTAAAAAAATAACCCAATGAAGAAAAAGAATATATGTTTTATTAAGACACATATGCAGAAAGAAAAATCAACTTGACATTTTACGACGACATTGTTAATTGTTTTTCTTTTTCCTCTCTAATGTTGTCTATTACGTGTCATTGTTCACCAACGCATCTTTTTTTTCCTTGCCTTTGTTGACTTTAATATTACATATCAATTGAGCAAGATTTTTCTATAACTATTTAGATCTAACTGAATTTTATTTCATTTCAATAAAAATGGCTCGAACAAAACAAACAGCTCGTAAATCAACTGGTGGTAAAGCACCACGTAAACAATTAGCTACCAAGGCTGCACGTAAATCAGCACCAAGTGTAAGTCGAAATTCGCTTTTTTTTTTTCTTCTTTGATTTTAAATTAAATGCTGTTTTTAATAGACTGGAGGTATTAAAAAACCACATCGTTTTCGTCCAGGTACTGTTGCTTTACGTGAAATTCGTCGTTATCAAAAATCGACTGAATTATTAATTCGTAAATTACCATTTCAACGACTTGTTCGTGAAATTGCACAAGATTTTAAAACTGATTTACGTTTTCAATCGGCTGCTATTGGAGCTCTTCAAGAAGCAAGTGAAGCTTATTTAGTATCACTTTTTGAAGATACAAATTTATGTGCTATTCATGCAAAACGTGTTACTGTAAGTTAGATTTTGATATTGATAAATAAGATATTTACAATTTTTTTAATTAGATTATGCCAAAGGATATTCAATTAGCACGACGTATTCGTGGTGAACGTGCTTAATATCATCACGCACAAGATTTTTCAATAAATGTGTATATATATATATATATCATCATCATCTTTATCATTTTGTTGTTGTTGTGTGTTGGTCCCTCTTTTGCTTATTATCGATTTTGTTTGCTTATTTACTCTTATTTACTCAAATTATTATACTTCATATCTATATATATGTTCGTATCACCTATTTCTCAGGATGATTTTCTTCTTTTCATGTATGCACAATGTTGCCACTCGAATATATTCTCTCATGTTTGATTGTATCATTTGAAGAAAGAAAAACAACAAAACAAAAGAATGTTATAATAAATATAATCATCCTTACTCTTTTTCTTTGTCACACAGAATGGAAGTAGATTTCTTTTCTTAATGTTCTTTTATGTTGATGTGTGTATAATTCATTTGTATCTGTGTGTAACTATGTACCTCATAAAATAATCGAAAAAAAAACAAGCGAATATTTGAAAATAATAATAGATAGATAGATATTTAGTTGGGAAAATGAAAAATATAAACATGTGTTTTTTAATAATCAACTATTTTATTAGCGATCAAATAAAATGACGTATAGAGATATATATGTGTCATTCACTGCATGGCGATAAAATTAATGACGAATATCAGGGACTCTGATTAGGGGGTCTAGTCCCCCGCAGAATTCAAACAGCTGTCTGTCTTTCTGTCAAAATGCTTAAAGTTTTGCTGAAAACTTAGTCAGAAATCTGGTTTTTATACTATTTTTCCACCTGAAACTCGAATAAAAACACTTTTTTTCGGGTAAAATTCCGCAGAAAGTGTATAGCTTAAGTATTTTCTACGTTATATGTGTCAGAAAGCTATATGACGGCACTTTCTGCCAAATTTTATCCCCCCGCACTTTTGAAAACAATTGGAACCCTGACGAATATGATATGCTGAGATTTTGTTTAAGTTGCCATATTTTAGTGACGACTGATTTAGATTACGTGATAAACTTTCATTGATAAATAAATATTTATATTTCGAAAATGTAGAAATACCTGAGTGTTACACTCTAGAGTACGTCTAGAAAAGAAAAGAACATTGATAATAATAGCTTTTTGTACTAAAGGTATTATTCTGTTCTGTTTAATAAATACCTTCACGTTCCATTGTCTATAATATGACAATTGTGGGTACGTAATCATAAAATGATGTATCGATACTTTAATTTGCAAACAATACATTAGCCTTTTGTAATAGTATGCCTTTTTGATCTGTTTCAAATGTTATGCTTACATATATACAATATGATGAAAACTATTGATGCGACACTAAGAAATTTACTAGAATAGTTTATTAAATCACGTTCAATGCCACTAGATCATTCATCATTAGTATAATAAAATCATGATTTCGATGTCAACTCATCATTCTTCTAATATTAAAATCACGCTGAGTTATTGTTAAGTTTATTTCTATGCCTATGGTTATATAACACTATTTTTAGATTAAAATATTCAAAAATAGTTTTATTAATAAGATAAATTTAACATGACATCATAGAAGAAGAATATATAATCTGTGTAGGAACATTTATCTATTTAAATAATTATAGATTATGAAATAACGAGCGTTATCTCAATGGTTTATTTCAAAAGAAAAATAAAAAATAGATTTTCAAATATATCATGCAACTCATTTCATAATCATCATTAAACTACTTTTTTTTGATATTTAATGAAGTATATAGCAAGTTTTCAGCTTGAAATGAATTTATAAATAATTATAATTATATTCTGACGTCAGTAATCATTCAGGTAAAAAGAATGTTTAAATCTAATTTCGGTATTATTGATGTTCTCATTAATGTTAACCCTTTGGTTACAAATCACCCATATATGGCATTTGAAGCTTTCAGATATTACTGTCATGACAATACCATTCAGACTCGATCAAAAAGACTCCTCTCTTTGATGGTGTACGTGTGGATGTGGGTGAGATAGATAAGATACACCCATACTTACTTTTAAATGCTTCCATATATTAATAAAAGTTATTTCAGACTGTTTTAGAACGAAAAAAAAAAGATTCACCTAAATAAAAACATTGATTATTCAACATAGTATGCATTGAAATAAATTCTTTAAATTCTTGTTTTAATAATATGTGTAAATATTTATTTAAAACGATATATTATCTGACAATCAGGATCGAGAAACAAAAATAAACAGAAACAAAAAATAGATCTATACGTGGAAATTAGTCGTTCATCGATCACTATTTTCCCATCGACGAGGATTATATAACATCGAAGGTCTATTATTTCGTTTGTTATTCATCATCATTCTTTTATCATGATAATATTTCGGACATTCTTCTTCAATTATTGTATTAATTAATGAACGATATTTATCACCAAAAATTAATAAAATTTCTTCAATACGTGCATTGTTATCCGAAACACTAAATATTATTATTAAAAAAAAACAACAATTTTTCTAGATAAAATAAATCTTACCTGCAAATATATCCAAGAAAAGAATAATTTGATCGAGTATACGATAATTTCCTTACTGATTGATGATGAATACGTGAATATGAATTAAGAAATCGATTCATTTCTGGAAATGGATGATAACCAGGTTCCCATTTACTATTCATATTCAATTTCATTTTTCCAAATAAAAAAAATTATTCAAGCGGCTTACCTCTTGTAATCAGAATCTACTGGTTGACTTTGAATTTTTATGATATTGAGCAATACAATTAATACACAGACAAAATTGTTCATCTGTCTATCTTTTCTTTTAATGTAATTTAAATCAATATGTAACTTTTATACCATTCTGTCAGAATTTTTCTTTACATACATTGATATATATATATGTGCCTTTATGATATAGACTACGGTATTTCTACTCAAAGGCGTTATTAGTCATGTTTTGTTTTAGATATGACTTTATGTTTACTTGGGCTTTTATAATATCAAAACATTCTTTTTGTTTAATTTTCTATTCATAGTTTTCTTAGTCATTTTATTTTGAAATTGTATGTTATGTATAATTTTATTTTGTCATGTCAAACATTAGTCAAACGAAAAGCAGGTGGTCCATTGTGTATATGTGCATTGATACCATTATGTCTTGTCATATTATTACTATTAATATTACCCAAAATTTGAGCAGTTGAATTACTAATAGTTAATGAATTCTTTCCGAGTCGTTTATGTTTATTAGTTTTCGTATTACATCGAGTATTATTACTTGCAGCTGAAACAGGTGATGGCTGTTGACTTGCATATGGCATTGTAGTTGATGCTCGAAATGGTATCATTGTTGATGACGTTGATTTCGTTCTTAAAAATGATTTACAGCAACAACAACATGATGAGAATAGTTCGCGAAATTTGAGACGAAATTTATCTAATATATAAAGAAATTTGATATATCCTTATGAATTCTTACATATAACAATAAAAAAGAAACTAAAATATGTTGCTTTTTTTCTTATAACTTACCACTCATGATATTGTATATGATAGGATTAATTGATGAATTAAAATAGGGAAGAAAATGAGATATTAATGCACTAATTGTCACAATTTTTATTGTACCCGTCCGTTCGAGAGAAACTATATTGGGTTTAAAACAAGGATCTGAATTATCATCAGTCTCTTGTTGAGTATAGTCCAAATAGGTATAAATATATCTAAAAAAAAATATATATGTTTTAAATTTTATTCCAAATAGAGTAATTTACCTGAATAAGTTAAAGACATGTACTGGTATATAGCAAATAGTAAATATAATGACAACAGATATAAGCATTTTAGCTGCTTTTTGTCGATTTTCTTGTACAATTAAATTAGCTGATTTAGTTGGATTCATAAGATTTGTACTACTATTTAAAGGACCATTAAGATGAGATTCATCTAATGAATTTTTGAAATAAAAATTATTTTGCTTGAAAAAAATTAAAATACCTGAAAGCATATGTTGACTTGAATTAATTGTACGTTTTTCATCATTAAAGAATCTTTCTGTTGGTAATGATCCCCATAAGACTCTAGCAATACCAGAATATGTAAATACCATAAAACAAAGTGGGATGACAAATAAACAAAGTGATATGTGTAATTGATAAATAAGATCCGACAATGGATGAGTTGCCCATTGACAACTAAATATAATGAAATTAATGAGAACATAGAAAGAAAGAAAAATTGATTTTACTAGGTTAAATAAATCGTTTCAATTCTATTTCCAAATTGTCGTCTAAGCGTCATCAAAATAACGTCTAAAAGGTGCATTTAAAATACATTTTTTTTACACAACACGATAAATTAAACCTGGAAGAACAAGTAATAATGAAAGTATCCAAACGGAAAGAATTAAAATTCTTGCACGTTGTTTCGTACCACTAAATTTAAGTGGATGAACAATAGCTTGATAACGTTCAATTGAAATCGCCATTAATGTAAGTACAGATACAGAAATAGACATATTCTAAGATACAAAAAAAAAAACATGACAAATATTCTTGTAAAGTCATGTAACTTTTAATTAAATTGATGTCTTAAAATGTTTTGTCTAGATAAAAAAACAAATTGCACTTACGATGATTACTTAATTTTAAGGTTTTCTGTTAAACATCTGCTATTTCATTCTTTTATCTATTCATTTATGTTTAAGATAGAAAAGTAAAGGAAACCATAATTAAAATTCTTTCATCATATCATGCATAAAATATGACTATTAGTTGCCATATACGAATAGAAATTATAAATAGTTTAAGTAAAAGTTCTATATATTTGAATGTCATTTGGTATTTTCATCAACTACTCTAAACACTGTCCGGTATTTAATTGAAATTAAACTATAAAATTTCCAGGTTGAGACTCATTTTTTCTATCTGTATTAATGTATTCGTTATTAACAAATAAAGAAAAACAATCCATAGGATTCAAAACCTGTCAAGACTGTCACATTGATTAAAGCACACTCATATAGACGTCAAATATTATAATTATATGTATATGTAGATACATATATATAATGTCATTGAAAATAACCTTTACACTTTATACCTGAACATAGTTGACAAATTTGCAAAGTGCTAAACCAAAAAACCATGTTTTAGTAACATCTTGAACAACAGTTGCTGGCAAACAAAATACAAGAACTAATAAATCAGCTGCAGCTAAATTCATTATAAACATATTTGTTACTGTTCTAGAAATGAATAAATTAAGTGTTAGACGACTCAAAAAAAATTGATAATAATAATTTATTGATCTCTTTTACCTCATACTTCGATTACGTTGAATAACAATAATTACAAGTAAATTTCCAATTGTACCAACGATAAAAACAATAACATAAAGTATAATGCAAATCCATTCATAATATGTAGGTACAACATATTTTAAAATTAAATTAAGTACCATATCATCCGATAAACAATTATTTTTAATATCAATAAAATAACATGTGCTTTCATTGTATCGACATGATGGTGGTGATGATATTGTCGAATTCATTGTACTATTGTAATTTATCATAATCAACCATAGAATATTAAGATTTTCTAAAGAATAGATAGGATGATTTGCTTTCTTTTCTATTATTACTCTCGTTTCACTTGACTTATTTTTTATTTATTCTTAATGTCTTTTGTTGCCTATTGTCTATTTATTTAGCTAACTGAAATACTTTGTCGTTTTTTTTTCTGTTATTAAGTAAAGAATCTCTTAATGGTATATAGTCCGTTTCTCATTATATGAAAAGAAAGCGAAAGAATATTAATTTTAAACAAAGATCAAATAATAATACTCCTATGTAATAGAACAAAAGCTTGTTGTATATACAATAGAATACTATAAATCATCTTTTATTATCATTTGAAGAGAATCAAAGCACAGTGAAAAGAAAAAGTAGATATATACGAACATACACCAACGAGTAGAAGAATAGTTGATGAGATCGTATTCTCTTATTTTTCTCTCTCCTTTTCCTCTCAATTTTTTTTTTCTCTATTTATGTGGGGGTGTGAGAAACAACAAAAGAACTCAAGAGAGCAGTCATTTGTTGAACGTTCGTTTCAACAAAATATATTAGAATATAACATTACAAACAAACAAACAAACAAAAAAAAAATCAAAGTATAATTAGACTTTTATAATACAAATTATTTTCGTTTTATATTCTTACTCTGCCCGATTAATAACAAACCTGACCTTGTACAACATAGAATAATATCTCAATATAACCTGTTTTCTTTATTTCGAAATAAGACATGCATCGTTTTTTTTTGTCAACACTCCTCCCTACAGTTAACTAAATTTGCTATAGAGAAGATAACAAACAGTCTAATAGACAGATTTTGACGCACTGTTGATCTTATGTATATATACACTTTTTCTTCTTTTAGCTAATGTGATTGTTGACATAGTAAGTTTCCTTACTTCATAACTGGTAATAATATTACGAACATAAGTTATTCCATTATATTGTTATTCTATGAAAAAAAAATGATTTGCTTTTTTTTCAAGCACTATTTATTTTTCTCTCACAAGAGTAATGACAAACTCACTTGTTTTTTTATACATTAACCATATGGCAAAAGAAAATATTATATTAACATTCTTCTCATTTTTTTTTTCGTAAATAAAAATATCTTTGATCTCAGTTGAAAGATATGTTGACAAGTTTCCTTCTCTTTTTTCCATTATATTATTTTGGACTC